CCTTTTTTTTTTTTTTTTGCTTCCGTTCATTTTGTCTCTGATTTAGATTTTGTGAGAATTATTCATTTATTTAATTCTATGAAATCAATATTACATAGTAATACTCATCTAAAGTTGATGTAAACTGAGTACATCTAGTTAATCATCTTTAGGATGATCGATACTTTAAATATAAAGATTCATTTCTTTATATTTTCTGCTTAAATAATTATATTAATTTTTAATTATATAAATATTACTTATATTTCTATGAATTAGATTCTAAACTTAAATTAATTAGAATTATTTTTTCTTAATTGCATTAAAGTGGAAAATTTCTGATCAAGATTTAATAAAACGATTTTAATTGATTAGTTAAATAATAAATAAATTGTTTATCTTTAATTATATCACAGATTGATTATAAAATGATTTTAGTTGATTGAGTTTAATAATAATTCTTTTTTAATTTAAGTCATTTAAGTTCTACAGAATTCGTTTTATCATATTTTATCAATTTTATGCTTTTAGAAATTTCATTTGATTTATGATTCAGGTATAAGCTTTATATGATATATTGGATTTCATATATTTCCAGGAAAAGATGAAATATGTCTAGAACATATCTAGGAGAAGGTCGTCGACGAATGTCATCACCTGTTCTGCGCATGTTGCATCTTTAAACGATCGTAATTGTCATTCTAGTGACGCAAAGTGATCTATAGCATTATTTGCGCACGATCAGGGTCGTGGAAAGAGATAATTTATTCCACGATGCAGCATTTTGTAATGTGTGTTTGCATTAGCATACAAATAAATTAGTTTCTAAACTCTAAAGATATTTTAATTTTCTTTATTAAACTTTTGTAATATATAGATATTAATTATCATATTAAAATCTTAATTTATTTATTTTATTAAAAATAAAAGTAAAATTTTTATTTTTTTAAATATAGAAGAAAGGTTAATTATTTTTCAGAATTCTAATGATTTTTAAAGAATTAACCTTAGAACAATTAATCTTGAAATTCTTATAATAAAAAAATTTTTTATAATATATTTATTCTACAAAAAATTATTTTTGATTTCTAATATTAAATTTAATTAAATATTTATATATGACAGCACTTAATTTTGTGAAAATTTTTTATGAAAAAAAAAAAAAATAATAATTTAAATTTAAAGTTTTTCAAAGAAATTACTGAGAAGAATCGAAGAATCCGGTAAAAGTTAAGATGCAATGAGAATAAATGGTACGTGACACATAGGAATAAAAATTTCTATATAACTATAGAAAGTGTATCCTCGTAAATCCCTGAAGTTTATGAATCACGTTGGAAATATTTTCGTTTCGAAATATTCGATTCGAATTGATTGCATAAGTTATTTTCAATGAAGTATTTTAATTACGATAGAAAATTTTCCGGGAGTTTTATATGCCTCATTTATTGAATATCGAATGAGATATACATGAAAATGCAAGTGAAGGAAGCACTTAAGATGACAAAATTAAAAACGACGTAGCTAATTTGCAATTAATATTAGCAAAAAATGAGATACATACATTATATAGCATACTCATAAATAAGTTATATACTGTTCATGTATTCCATACGTTAATTACTAATATTTTTCATATATCTTAAAGATTATAAACTAAACAAAAAATAAAAAAAAGAATAATAATAATAGTACAAAAAAATGTAGTAGTAAAAAAATGACAATAATTATTTTAAAAGTTTTATTTATAATAAACAGAACAGAGATAAGATAAAAATAACTATCAAAAAAAAAGTCATAAATCTAAGAATAATTACAAATATTTTCCAACTACAAGACAAAATCAACAAAGAGCTAAAAAGCGAGAGAAAGCTTGAAGACGCCGCAAAAGAAACGTCAAACAGGTATATGAGAAACAAGATCAAAGAGACCTTCAAGCGCACCATCTTTATTTCCTTTTCTCAGTTTCTTTCAGGGGAATATAACGAACGCCCTTGCCAGGAATGCAATCTCCGATCTTTCCAAGTTCGTTTCAGTAGAGCTGTTTCAGCCATGTTTGTATGCAGATGCGTATGCGCACGCACACATCAGTCATACCAACAGTAGAACAATATCATGTAATAATACCGCGTCATCTTTTTCTTTATTCGCAAAAAATTCTTTGATTTTTAGAAATTACGTTGGAATAATCATAAAATGATCAACATTGAATGGAAAAATGATAGAAAATTGTTATTAATTAAGAAAAATGTAATCACATTAATTTAAATTAATTAATTTAAACTAAATTTTTATTATTATTGTGGTCATTAGTTGATTGTCAATAACTATTGGTCATTCATTAGAAATATTGATCAATATTGTGAATATTAAAGAGAAAGAGAAAGAAGAAGACTTGTTTCAGATGTGATTAATCTTTCTATACAAAAAAATCTTTCAACATTTTTGACCCTATAAGAAAAAATGCGTATCGATAATTTTTTTCTCTTTTGAATCTACCAAGAACCGTCATTCATAAAATCATTCGACCAAAAAAATTCGAGGAAGACTTTTTAACGATCCGTGGAATCTCCTTGGTCAACATAATTGATTGTGAACGACGACGACAATGAAGACGAACTAGAAAAGGATCAAAATGTTTGAACAAGTGGGCCAATTGATATGGCTCAAATGGCTAATTATCGAAGATGACTTTCAAGAGTATTAGTCACTGTTTTAAATAGTTATATCCCAAAACATTTCCATGGATAATTCCACTCGAGAATCATAATAAAAAATAGCTCAGAAAGCGAATAAAAAATTTATCAAATAAAATTCATCAAATAATTGAAAGAAATTCTATCTATGTATATATTCTATGCTTGATACTATCTTATAAAGAATTCTAGAATTAATAGTCTCACTTAGAATTATAAGAATTAAGTTAATCATTATATTAAATATCCAATCTCAATTGTCATCACTGTTAATATTAATTTCTCATATCGTTACAATGGCACGAGGACATAAATAAAAAGATAAAAAATAAAAATTAAATTTTTTACCGAAGTCAAAAAATAATCATTGTTATTATAACAATTAACGAATTTAAACTTAAAAAAAAGCTTAAAATCAAAATTTTAATTTCACAAGAATCGAAAAATCAGATTTCGATATCGATAATATTTAAATCGTTTCAAGACGCCCGGTATAAGCGGCCACGTGTACGGGATTTCTTGGAGCTTTCTTTACGGAAGAAAAGTTTGCTCTGTGGAGTGTATAAGGTCACTCAGGAGAACGTGCACGGGGCACCACGACTCACCTGAAAGGATCGTGTTTCATACCGTGAGCGGTGTATTACCGTACGAGCCCCGCGGACCATCGTTACGTCTTACGTTATTCTACGCGCGACGTGTTACGTGTCCGCGCAGCGTTAGCTACGAGCTGAACACGTCACGGAACGACTTTACGATTCAATTTCTCTTCTCCGAAGAACGGAACCCGGGTTTATTTTACTTTATGTAACCAATCACTTCCCTTGGACTTCGCTCTCAGAAATATTTCGCTTTCATAATGAAATTAATTTTTTATTCAAATTTGCCTGAATATAATTTTTTCAATTTCTCCTTCATTTAAATTGAGAAATGGTGATATTCTAATTTTACAAATAACACACGTTCGTTCTCTCTATTCGGTTGAACTTTAACGTTTACTTTAAGAAGAAGCTAAAGGATTCCCCAAAAAAGTTTACAGAGATAAATTACTATCTCTAAAATTTTTGTTTCGAGAAACGATCAAGACTATTAATGCAATCAGAAATCGCAGGTAAAACCGGAGTGTTACCTCTACCACCAGGATGGTTATGTGCTTAACGATTATCCATCGCTAGAAGCGGTAAGAAGTACCAGCATTCCATGTGGAAGCCATTTTTTAACGGGGCAAATAGTTTTAGTCCAATGTTTTCTGGTGGAATAGTAGATCCGCGTTAGAGTTGATAGTGGGGATAAACAAGGGAAAGAGTGAGGAGTGAGCGCTTGGAACGTTGTTGCGTGCAACAAGCGAAACGAACTCGACACTCGTGAATTAATAATGTCCGTAGAACGAGCAAGAGAAAAAGAGAAGTCGATTTACCGTCAGGTGAACCGGGATGTAAACAGGATGCCGCAGCGAGAGAGGATAACGCGAGGACACGTCGCGCCGGCTGGCAAGGTCGTTGCCATCGGAGATTCCAGGCTACTCACCTGCAACTCTAAGATAGCTATGCACTTGCCTCAGAAGCATCCTTATCCTTGAATCTTTTCTATCCCAATAATTCTAAAATTCTAAGACTAATGCAAAATATAATTTTGAATCAACAACTTTTATCCTAACCTAACTTTTATCCTAACCTAACTTTTATCCTAACTTATGAAATCATTCCAACGATATCAAATATGAATCAATCTTAACCTAACACGTCAAAGATTATCATTAACTAGTTTCTTGAATCATAGCACAAGTGTCGTGCAATTAGAAATTGCTTTTAAAGAGAGTATCTATAAAGTTCCAGGGATGCCAATTACAATTGACAAAGAGTAAATGAGAATTTATAACTATATTTGGAAACTAGTTTTAATATGTCAAAAAGAGTCATCAGTTGGAGAAGAAATGTTTTTACTGCATTTAGATTGTCCTCGCAAGGTCGATATCTTTTATCGAATGAAAAAACATTTGTTTCTATAGATTAATTAAGCCTGCGTTTCCATTTAACGCGAATGAAATTAACACGCAGGAAAATAAATATCGAAAAAGGATGTCATGAGGATATGTCAGAGTAGCAAGGTCGTTGTCATTCTGTAACCTAGGTTGTTCACATTCAAGGACCTTTCCACTCAAGTTTCATGAGCATATAATACCATCGTATCGATTCTAGAACGAGGGGCAAAGGTAAGTAAGCCGTGGATCTTTTGGAACTAGGTCAATCTAATCGAATGCTTCTTTGAAACATGAGAAACGTGACTACAAAGTGAGATACGAAGATTGTTTAGTAGATTCTAGTTATTTTTTTCCAGCATTAGTTACTTTTTATCGGGCGAAATTTATAGCAAGATATACACATGCTCGAAATAAAATATCTCTAAATGAGATCAATTTGTCACAGTTTATAAAAATTATACATCAATTCTTCTCTTATTAAAACACATTGTTGCTAAAAATATCTATTCTCCTATTCTCAAGCGTGTTTTATACTTCACACGATCACAATCAGGACTTTGTCAGAATAGAAGTATGACATGAGATATCAAATTTACATTATTTTTACTTTCTTAATTGCTATAGATTTAATTATTTATAAAATATTAAGTAATTTTATTTGTATATCCTTTTAAAATTCTTTCGTTTCCACTAGAGAGAAATGTTTAGACAGCATTCAAATCCATCTCGAATTTTATATTGAACATCACGAGTCATTAAATGTAAACTAAAATTTTTAAAATCTCCGATCCTCAAAGATAAGATTCCTAGCGCACGTAAAATCGCGTGAAAAAAGAAACTGCTTGATGTTTGTTCAAGAATAACGACCAATTAAAATATTCTTCGAAATAGTTGTTGGATATCTTCGATTTTCGAATAGATATTAAATTACCTATAATTAATTTATTTTTTTACTTGATTTAAAAATTTTACAATAAAATGTTACAATTTAATACACTACTATTATTAATCGATAAATTATCATACAAGAAAACTCTATCATTATATTATTTTCTTCAAAGACATCAAATTTCGAAATGGCGTCAATATCACGACGATGAGAAATCTTAGGGAAATTTCTGTTCCTATCAATATAATGTATCTGGAACGGTAAATCAAGCGAGACGTTCATATCTGAGGGAATCCTCATATGTTCAACCTTCACAGCTTCTGTTCGATTCTGATAAGGTAATTATTTTTCATTCGACGGCTGGTGACACACTTTTGCCAACCGATCATCCTGAAATCTCTTTTTCCACGGTGACTTTCGTGAAACTTTCTCGGGGAGATCTGATGCATTTTTATGAGCCGTGCGCTGCTCAGGATTCAATGATCGTCGTCAAGTGAGTCTGAAGTTCCTGATATGGATAGTATAAATATGGTACCCGGTTTTCTTGCCAAGGATAATTCTAACGATAGTATTCATCATGCATAATTTCATCATCTATCTCTTACATCTTGTCATTGTGATTTTCATTGATCCCATAATTCTATATGTCTCTATTATTCGTCATACATAATTTCATCCCCACAATTTAACATTCTAATTAGTTTTATTAATTTATCAAATTATACAATCGTGATCATATAAAGTTTAGAAAAGCAATAGAATGGCAATGATAGTATTATTAATATATGTATGATATAGAATATTTCTTTTATCTTGAAAGAAGGATAATCTTTTAGTCACTTAAGATAATTTCAATATCAATATAATATACGTATTTAAAATTTATTTTTTGATAATGAGATAGAAAAAATATGCCATTATTATTAAGATTAAGATCTCAAGGAAAAATAAAGAAAAGATTTCTCCTTGTTCGTTTTTAATTATTTTAAGAACTAAATATTTTTTGAAAATATATTCTTCAATCACCGATATTATCTTATTATTTATTTATTATTATTATTACTGTTAATATTTTATTTAGAATTACTTATATCTCTTTCTGATTTCCATCTGGTGAAAATTGAAGATAAGTTTCATTAACAGCTTCTTCCTTCCTGGCAGAAACAGAGGCTAACTTTCTTTCAACTTTTTCACCCTTCGATCATGTCCCAATCAGCTTTTTCTCTTCATCCGAGAGCCGTTTCTCCTCGGTTGGATAAGGCGACCACAGTTTCTTTTTTCCCGCTTTCTCCGTGTACGCTAAACATGACCCTGACCTCGAGACACCCGGTTATAACTGCGAGTTCATGATTAATGCTCGACTAGACAACGTATCCGCTAATCAGAATCAATTGCAGTCACAACACCAAAATGTTTTCCCTGTGATGTAAAGGATATTCTTTTAAATCAATAATGACTTGCATTTATACATCGATAAACTTTGTATTCATTTGAATTAAAAATATTATTATATCTGTATTATACCTGTCAAGTCAAATAATAAAGTTCATAAACTTGCTATGGAAAATTACTAGGTACTTGAATATCACTATGATAATTTTTGAAGTATTTCTCTAAATTATTTCTCTATAGATTATTTTTCTAGAAAATTTATTTCTCTAGATAATACAAATGTTACAAGTAAGAAAAAAATTCTTTTGAATTTCATTGGTTAATAAGCTAGTATAAACAAATCTGTTTGATGTTAATTTTTTTATTCTCGCAAATCAACTTAACAACTTACGAATTATTAACCATGCATTAAGCAACACGTAAATATTTTCATGGACTTTTTAATAATACCAATATATCATTGAAAAAAAATTCCATGTGTTTATGGAATTGCTACTGGTTTCTGGGAAACCAAGCATCTTTCGTCCATTTCACGTTACTTTCTCCCTCCATTTCGCGTAAGAAAGTAAAAATGGAGAGCGATGTCGCCTTTCTTTCCCTCGGGGAACCAAACTTTCCGTAGGGTGGCCTTAATGTTGGTTAATAAAGATGACTTTCTTAAAAGGGATACCAGCTGCTCAAAAATTATATTTATGCACACAATTTCGATTTAAAGATATCATAGCTTTCCAATATTTTTCACTGCGTCAATCCTTAATCATTATTGGCTAATTCTCTTAGTTTGCTATTTTAAAATATACATATATATATATACCCCCACAATTTATAACCATTGCTTTCCAATTTACAAGATTTTCTACTTTCTGAAATTAGAAATTCTTTTTACAATATTTTTAGTTTTCGTTATGCGTATACGATTTCTATTTTTTTTTCTCCTGACTAAATTTTACTAGTGCTTGATTAAACCTAATGTAAATCTAATTCAAATCTAAATCTAAACCTAACTAACTAATATCTAATTTCTAATAATCTAATCAAAACTTCTCCTTATCATTCCATACTTGAATAAAAATAATCGTTCTTCTTTTCTATTTACATTATTATTTTTTAAGTCATAATGATTCGATAGATTCGAATGATTATCTTTGAGATTTTCGATGGTGTTGGTATTGGTCGGATCGCGGTTAGTTGCGTTTATCGAAAGTAACCACGAGCTGAGCAGCGATTAACGTTCTCCAGTAGGGACTTTCAGATGATCGCCGACCGAGGACCGATCTGCAAGAAGCGGTCCAACGAGATCGCGCGTCGGAGGCGAACGTTCAGTTCTCGTTGTGGAAAAACTGGTCCCCACTAGACACATCGTTTCTTCTCGTCCAACGGTTTCGTTGTTGCTGGGCGACGTGAAATTTAATCTGTTTATCGGTATGTTGAGTATGACTTGAATAAGAACTTTTATATTTTATGTTTCAATGAAAATGATAATGTTAAGAATATCTTTAGGATGAAACATGTCAAGATAAGATTTACATGGAATTTAGCATTTTTCTGATACTATCGAGATAAAGAGAGATATTACTGGAATATACCATTATTCCATTACTGAAATTATTAATTCTATCTAATTCTATATAATCTTTTGGAAATTAGATTCGTTCTATTAATTTGTTATTTGTTATCCATCTTAAAAAAATCTTAAAAATTAAATACTAGATATAAATATGTTCCTAAGAGTTAATAATTTCTTATTTGTGCTTTTCTATGATATAGACAGACAGATAAAATATAATTTAGATTTTTTTGAAATGACTTTTATATTAATAAGATTATTTTTCTTAAATTTTTTATACTATATTTTTATTTATATTATTTTTAATTTAACGATCAAGATAAATAGTTTTACTCGTGTTAATTGTTAAAACTGTTCTCGATATAACTAAAGTCGTTTTTACAATAAAATTCATAAAACGGATTGAATAAATTAAGATGTGAAACTTTCATAAGTCAGCGTCCGATGGCCGCGAGTTAAAAAGAGATTAACTGAAAGCAACAGGTTGTAAAAATTCATGCAAATTGATGTAATAAGTTGTTTCACGCAAGATATTTCCTCGTTTCAATTGGAAAATAATTCTATGTCATGTTGTTTACCGGATGGAAGAAACTGATAATTAAGATAGCACAATACTATACAATTAAATATTTTTAAAAACAGGATTTGTAATCTTTGTAATTAAAAATAGTCTTGAATAATCCGATAATTATTTTAACTAGACTAGAGAAGAGAATTCATTCTTGAATAAATATATGGCGGGAAATTTCAAAGGATTCGAAATAAAAATTTCTTCTATCCCTAATTTAAATTTCAAATAAATATTTTTCTATGTTTAAAATTAATTATTATTATATATCTAATAACAATTAATCGTTTTGGAACGTAATCGTTCACTTCATACTTTTCATCTTAAGATAAAATTATTTTTATTTTAACTACAATTATTTTATTCAAAATTAAGGTTATGTTCGCGGAATTATATTCGAATTTTACGACAATCGAATTAACCAATCGGATACATTAAATTGAGCGCAATATTCGAATCTCGTGACGCAGCTACTTCCGATTTATCTAGAGAGGAGAGAGAAACTCGTTCCAATTATAAAGTGTAGAATTCAGATGCGATTTCCCTGCGTTCAGTGAATTGAGAAAATATAAAACGAGAATTTAAGGTCGCCGTGGGAAGCCAAAAAAGAGAAAAAGAAGTTATTTATGAAAATAAAGAAAAAAGAGGACGAAGCAAAGAAACGAGTTAACGAGACGACCATCCGATTTGATCTTCTGAATTTTAATGAACATCACTGATTTACATTCGAACACTTCTCTTTCAGCAGAAACGACGTTGGATCCCGAGATCGTAATATCGAAAAGAAATTATGCTCGGAAGATAAAACTAGATTCGTGAATCCTAAAATTATTCTCAATTAGTCATAATAACTTTTTTTTTTACGATTCTTTCTTCGAATAAATTTTGACAAAGTATTTTAATTCAAAACATAATTTTTGAAATTTAGAAAAAAAAACAAGACTTTTTTTTATATCAATTTTTGACAATGTCTCAAATCAATAAATTTATTATTTATTTAACGACCGTTTATTATTTATTTTGTGTTTTTATTTCTAATATACAACAATTTATAAGATTTTTTTTTAGAATTAGTAATTAATTAAATACTTCGAATAAAGCATTTCAATTAAAGAGGACAGTCATTCTTTTTAAGACACTTTTTCCCAAGAACTAGTTCCCACAATTTCCAAAGTAAAAAGAGACTTTTATAGGAAATGATATGATCTAAGTCAAAAGAATTATAAATCCTAATTCGTAATTTAGTATTTAAATTTTTCTAAACATTATCAAAGAAACTAATCAATCAATATTAATGAAATAACATTAAAATTGATAAGATCTATACACTATGTTAAAATAATTATTTAACTAATCCTCAAAAATAGAATAAATTTCTGAAAAGAAAATATCAATGATGCATGACTTATTATAACTGAGTTACAATTTTTCCAATGAAGATTACAAAATTCTCCGATTCAACATGGCGGTCATATATTTTTTTCCGATTTTTCAAACAATAAAATGAGCAAATAAAGATAAAATAATAAAAATGAAACTACTACCAACTACCAAGTAAATTTATTGCCGAGATTATATCTACTTTTGCGATGCTCAAGCAGCAATTAAACAGTTTTTGAAGTTAACGTTGGAAAATATAATTGATAAGAAAATATTAGATACAAGAAGGGAATAATTTCATTTTTCGTGCAATTATAATGCATATGAATTGTACGATTAAAATGATATATTAATATATCATATAAAATTACATTATAAAATATTAAAATAAGAACTAAGTATAAAATTATGATATATAAATATACTTTATCATAGAATATTAAGAATCATGATATGAAAAAAATATATAAATATAATCCAACTATATACATATATTAATTTTTCTATAGATAAAAATATTAATTTAGATTTTTAATTACTCTTAATAAATTAGATCTAGAATCTAAATTCTAAATTTCTACATATACACGATTTTCTGACTTTATTTAAAAAATACAAAACTTAAAATATTTTAATATTATTTTTAATAATCTTAAAGTGATAGATAAATCATTTAAGTGATTATTTAAACTTATTTTAAATATATTTTAACGTGATATTAAACATATCTATTTCACTTTAATTCGTCAACGAGCCGATTAATAGCAAGATTTATTATTCGAAATCGCCACTATATTCTATACCACTGTGATCGTTTTTCACTAGTTTTTCTCATATTTAATACTATATATAATCAGTATCATAATCTAGAGAATGACTTATTGAATCACATTATATATTTCGATTAGTTTTTGGCATTAAAAGAAAACTCGATTTTCTTAGTAACATTCGATCTCGATTATTCAATCTTTCACGAGAAAACAAATGTTCAAATTTATCATCATCTCAATCCTGAATATGTGTCTATTATGTCTATAACGATTCACTATTATATAAGATATCCATAGAAACATGTTAAAACACTGTATATATATTATAAAAATATATAAATATAAATATGACTGATGTGTATATTTTTGATATAAAAAATTTTTTTTATTTTGAAACAAAGGAAATTTTATATATTAAATCTAATATTTATCTAGATAAAATGTTATCAAACAATTAAAATCTATTAGATGATTGTTCTATCAAACAATAGAAACACAAGTATAAATGTTATCGCTTATCTCAAGACGGTTGACACAAAAGCGGTATTTTATTAGATTTTTATTTATATACGATAACGATGATAGTTTATCTCATCAGACAATAGAATTCTCTTCAAAATTAAAAACATTCCCTTCAGTGAAAAAAATATCTTAATTCAAAAAATGTATTAATTCTTCTATAACTAGAAATTAATAAAAATTACTCATAAAATTTTATAAATCAATTATTATGTATTACATA